GATACTATGTCGTGGCCACGAGTAACTAGGTCGTGGTCACGAGATAGCTAAGTCGTGGCCACAAGATACTATGTTGTGGCCACGAGTTACTATGTCGTGGCCACGAGATAGCTTGTCGTGGCCACGAGTTACTAAGTCGTGGCCACGAGATACTATGTCATGGCCACGAGTTACTAAGTCGTGGCCACGAGATACTTTGTCGTGGACAAGAGTTACTTAATTGTGGCCACGAGAAAACTAAGTCGTGGCCACGAGATAACTAAGTCGTGGCCACGAGATACTAGGTCGTGGCCACGAGTTACTAAGTCGTGGCCACGAGATAGTTTAGTCGTGGCCACGAGATAATAAACCAATCAGAATACACTATATATATTATGAATTTTTATGTGTGTGTTTTTATTTAGCTCGTGGCCACAATATACTATGTCGTGGCCACGAGTTACTAAGTCATGGCCACGAGATAGCTAAGTCGTGGCCACGAGATGGCTAAGTCGTGGCCACGAGTTACTAAGTCGTGGCCACGAGATAGCTAAGTCGTTGCTACGAGATACTACGTCGTGGCCACGAGTTACTAAGTCGTGGCCACGAGGTACTATGTCGTGGACACGAGTTACTAAGTCGTGGCCACGAAATAACTAAGTCGTGGCCACGAGATAACTAAGTCGTGGCCACGAGATAACTAAGTCGTGACCACGAGATGCTAGGTCGTGGCCACGAGTTACTTAGTCGTGGGAACGAGATAGCTAAGTCGTGGCCACGAGATAATAAACCAATCAGAATACACTATATACATTATGAATTTTTTAAACTTAACAACTTACTTTTACATGCAGCATTAATCTTTGAAAACACTGAAGATATTCACTTTGAACATGTCTTTAAGATCATATTAGAAAGTCACCTTCCAATGCCCATCAGACATTAATTTTACTACAGCTCTTTGTTGGGCAAGTTTGTGATCGAAATGGTCAGTTTGTGCGTACTACAGCCTGTTAACCTTGTTTGTACGATAACATGATAAGGAATAAATCCTGATTTATTTTAATTGTAAGGGACATTGACACCATGTAAGGGACACCATGGACTGTATATAGCCTATAAGGTAAAATCCTTGTCTGATGAATAATTAAGAAAGGATCAGCCATGGTTAATGTTACCCAGAAAGATCATTGCACCTGATCAGTAGATGACATCTTATACTTTCGAGGTCATTGGGTCAAAAGTCAGGGTCACAGTGACGCTAAATGTAAAATTATTGACAAGTCAATAAGTTGTATAAATGGCACTTTTATAGACTGGTGAAGACGTGGCATCCTTGTATTATAACACATGTGTAGTAAATTAGGGAAATTCACATAAATGGTGTAATTTGATTGGTTATTTATCTCGTGGCCACGACATAGTATCTCGCAGCCACGACTTAGCTATCTCGCCGCCACGACTTAGAAACTTGTGGCCACGACATAGTATCTCGTGGCCACGACTTAGCTATCTCGTGACCACGACTTAGTAACTCGTGGCCACGACATAGTATCTTGTGGCCACGACTTAGCTATCTCGTGGCCACGACATAGTATCTCGTGGCCACGACTTAGTAACTTGTGGCTACGAGCTAGCTATCTCGTGGCCACGACTTAGTAACTCGCGACCGCGACATAGTATTTCGTGCACGACATAGTATCTCCTGGTCACGAGATAAATAAAACACACACATGTCACCTTTGTGCCACCGTAGCTACGAATGATAAAACTGTAACTTATTTTGGAAAGAAGGTGTCAGTTTCGCAAAGGTATTTTACGCTTTGCGCCGATACATTTGATACAGATTTATGCCCAACATGATGATTCAATAGTATTGAAGAAGTTTTCACTATATTGAATTAAAGCCGGGATGAGAAAATTTAGGTCAAATTATTGCATTGAATGTTCCACAGACTAGAGACATGGCATCTTAACATACCTTCATACTTAAGTGCGATTTTTATTTGATAATGAATTGCCTGACACATAAATTAAACAAAATTCAAAAAATGACTTCATGTTTACATTGAATATTTCTCTGCTATTCACACCACTGACACATACTTATTTAAAAACGAAATATCAAGGTACAAAGTGATCTTAGAGATTAATAAAATATTTCATTTCAATAAGAAATTTAAATGTTATTGTCTTTATAATTAATTCAAATGTTTTTTTTTTAAAAAACCTACTGACATTTAAGACCAAAACAAATTTTGTTGAAACAGAAAGGTGTGTCTGACGCTGAACTGCTATGAATTTCGAAAACCACCAGGGACTTTTGATTCTTTCGCGTGGAAAACCTAGCAAGCAAGTTTCAAAATTTCTATGGTTCTCTGCAGGTGCAACATTTTGCCTGAAGTAATGCACAAAGGAGCACCTGAGGTCCTCGCCCCCAGCAAAGCTAAATGGCATAGTGAAAGTTTAAAATAAAACAACAAAAAAGCAGTCATTACCTAGAACATACAGAACCACATTTTACTAAGAGCGTAGCTAGCAAAAATGAAGTTTGTGATTCAAGTTTACAGACTTCTATATTCTTGCAAAAAAAGGAATAATATTAAACATACAAGAAAAAATAAACAATTATTTCAGATATTATGATAAATTTAGTAACATATTCATGGTTAAAAGTAGCTTCCGCAATTTAAAAATTCAAATAAAATGTTATATTGGACATCACACAATGTATTCTAAATAATCAAAAGCAACAGAACATTGCTATAAACCGCGAATAATTTGCCTTTTTTGTCTAGCACAAGCGATCATTCCGTAAAATAGACATATATTGCCAAAATTATTGGCGTCCGCGCCGAAGCGCGGCGCCTTTTATGTAATGAAATCAGATTTTGTGAAAGGACGACAGCAACTTCTCGAGCCTTTTATAGTTGTTCATAATAAAAGCCGATCATTCCGATCGGTATGAGGGTGCTTGATTATTAATTAGTCGCGATATGTACAATGAATGGCGAACTGGAGAATTTCGCAATGCAAACATTTTCAAATGAAATAATCTTTTCCGTCAATAAATCGCGCTCTTCGGGGTATTTTTGTTTATCATTTTGTAGTACACAGTGGGTTATTATTGTATGTTATTCCGAAAGCTGTTAATTGAATGATGAGTTGATGACCTAAATATTCCGAAAATCTATTTATAGAGGGATGTACTCCTATCGGTAATTCCCGGTCTCTCCCGGGATTTACTAGTGACCGGCGAATAGTACCACACGTTTATTGTCCGGTCTCTCCCGGTTTTGGAGTAGATGTTTGATATCGTTACAGAACAGAACAAATATTTTACAAATAAATAAGCTTTTTTTTTCAAAATGAATGTTTGTCACTTAGTTTGGTTACAATAATTAATAAACACAGATCAACTCTCAAATTTATTGATTATTATTATCACGGATTTATGTAATATAAATCCGTGTTATCATACATAAACATACAATTCGAAAAAAAAACCAACAACACAAATCGCATGTTTTATTTTATCTATATGAGATAAAAACAATAAATATGTACAATAATTGAGAAAAAATGTACATTTTTATGGCATTAATATGACACTATCAACTTTGAAACATTTTATTTAATTTGTTATTCGTGTTTAGTAAAGATGCCGAGGAATATTCAAAGTTACAAATCAGATTTTATGAATTATTCAATTGATTGATAATTTAAAAAATGATAAAGAAAAATACAAATGTACATGTTATGGCTTAAGAATAAACAATATTATATATTGAAAGATTAACCATGATTTACTGACTTTTTCCAGTTAAGTTTTGACTCAATATGACAATTGAATTCTAAAAATAGTAGTAAACGTAAAAACTCAGTATTAAAATAGCGCATAAAACACAAAAAAGGAAAACAATATTCATAAAATCTGTATTTTTTTATTAAAATAGATAATACAATTATTGTATAATAAACAATTATGCTCAACATGATCAACATGGTAATATAACAAGTGTCATAATGTTACTAAGTGTGAACAGATACCTTAAGAGGGGGTCCTCCCTAATAGCGATAACATAATAAGGGACAATTACACAAGTATGGTGTTGATCATGCGTTACACATATATGGATTATATGATTGTATACATGTATATCCGTTGCTATTAATAACCATGATCATAAAGAAATAACAAGTAATATTCTAATTTCTAGCATGCCGATCAAAGTTATAAATAATGAACAATGTCTTTCGTCCGTTCATTCATAAGTGATATACAATTCTGGTAAAAACCAATGAACCATTGAAAAGTTTATAAGAATATCTTGTCATCATATATCTACTAGTTCGTCTGCACCTGCTGCTTGGACGCCCTTTGATGCTTTGCATCAATGCTTTTCTTGTCCTTGTTGTAAAGACTGCCAAAAGTAGAACTGCGTTGTATCATATTTCAACTGCGTCGTATCATTTCGTACAAATCATTATTTTCTTGGAAAATAAATATCTCTTTTTAATGAAATTTTAATTAATGATGCAAAATTATATTTTAAAGTTTATGGTGAACTCTTAAACGAGTATATGATTGATTTGAAGGAAAAAAGATAGATAAAGCAATATGAACTGTGTCGTTTCCACAAAACTTCATAAAAATTCTGGCCGGCTTTGGATTTACAAATATTTGATCAGTACATGTGCTGGGATTGACAAATATGCATTTTATTTGGATTTTAAAGGCGTTTTGAGCTCCAAACCCCAAGTGTCTGTGGTTTTGATTCCTAGCCCTGACACTATAAACATGGGATTATGCTATTTATTATGATTACGCGCGGAATTAGTAATGTCGAGTATAAAAATAATTTCCAATACGGTTACACCGGATCTAAAAAATAAATAGCAAATAATTAAATCTATTTATAGATTATGCGCATTTATGGGTTTATTTATAGCTTAAAGCTCGGGAAACCAATTTTTACATTTTTTACAACAAACATTACGATATAATTATTTTAAGGTGGAATTCTTTCGACAATTGTAGGCAATAAATATATTAATGTAAATGTTAGACAGCGATGGAGGCATATGCTGTATCCATTCTAGTTTCGTGCGTGTCGGCTTTAAATGGAAATTTAATAAACGACTGTGTTGTGTCGGATCTCTATATTAAATTAACCTGTTCAAAAACAGTGATTTGTATGTTTCAGTGTATATTGCTAAAAGATCCACAATTTAAACGTGTAATATTGAGTGTTTTAATGGTCCTTCTAGTGTGGTGTGTGCTGATGTATATACGATTCAGGCGATCGAAACATGATAACGAGCACGGAGATAATGGCCGACCGACAGACTTAGTACAAACAAGCATGAAAGACTCAGACCCATCTACAGATAGTGCACACTTAACAGCCAACCAAACACCTGAAACGACTGGGGGTTTACTAGGGTCCAAAGAAACAACAGAAAAACAAAGTACAACGACAACAGTAAGAAACCCCCAGGGAGAAACAAACTCAAAGGTCTTGGATGGTAAGATTAAACTGACATTCTTACATAAAATTGTAAAACATTGATATATTTGAAATATTAAACATGTATCACTTTTCAGTTATTGATCTCCAACAGAAGTAGAATTATACAGATATCAGATATTTCTGTCAGTAAATTAGCTTCATTTTTTTAAAGAAATATATATATATATATATTATATTATGTTATATTATGTAACAGTAAAGAATGTTCAAATTGAAGTTGGAAACAGTCTTTCTTTTTGATTTTGTTTAGATGTTCATTACTTTCGCACGTAAAACTTTATCTACTTTTATGTTTACTTTACAGATGATCAGGAACGAGTCATGTGTAAAATATGTTTGAGTAGGAAAATGAATGTGGTTTTCTCACCTTGCAACCATATGGTGGCGTGTGCGAGCTGCTCGGATTTATTGGACCGATGCGCCGTTTGTAGGACACCAATTAAAGGAACTTTTGTCGTGTATACAGAATTTTAAATCTTCAATGACATTTTAAGACATTTCAGGTCGAGTTAACTTCCATCGTATGAAGTTTATTTCATGAAGAAAATGATTTCCTTACCTATATGATGACCTTTGCCAATCACATATGATATTGCAATAACTGTCAGCAATGTTAAGAATGAAGTGCACGTAAGCACGTGCTGATCTTTACAAAATTAAGTGACTGAAAACATTAAGCCTTATGTCATGCTGTATTTACGGTGACAGGCGATTTCAATTTATTTTATGTGAACCTTTTGTTAATTAGTATTATTTTTATTATTTGTTGAGGAAAACATACAACGGCCTTTAGCCTATTAATGTATGAACTGTGTCACAGTATATGTTTGATATAATTTTTTATAAAATTAAAAACATTTACAGAACATCCTTTGTTTTGTTTTTTTTCCGTTGATCTTCTGCTTTAGTTATCATAAGTGAACATTGAAGCATCAAATAGTTTGTATTAATGCATGCATAATTTTTTTGAATCAACTCGATATTTAAGTGATATTACCGTGTTGGGGAACAAAGTATATGACATGAATCCTTTAATATATGTTTATTTCCCTTAGGAATGGAAGAATTTCTATAATACTAACAAAACATGTTTGAAGCGTTTTACACATTTTAACGCTCACGTGTATTAACGCGTTTTATATTACATGTAATCGATGTGTCAAATAAAACGTGTTTTACAGAATGATGCACGAAATATTTGGTCCCTGAAAATAATACGGCATAATATGTTCCCGTATTGAAGACGTCTCTGCTCCTTATTGATCTATTTCTTAGTGTGTAATCCCAAAAATAGCAAGGTATGTTGCCTAAATTGCCACTGATGTGTAACAACAATGTTTTGGTTGTCATAGGCTTAACGCCAAGTATTTGGTATTATCCTGCCAAACCTATCAAAACAATACGAGGAGTGTTCAAAAATGAATGCATCTAAGCACGTAAAATTTGGTTATTCATAGGATATGTGGCCTGCTTTTTAATTTTGTCTTTTGACGTCTTATCTGTGATATGCAGGCTTCATAACCTCTGATCCCCTTTCAAAATTCCATTTTATTTAGTTCCACCCATTGCTTTCTCGTTTATAGGACACACGCAATTTTTTTTACTTGGGGACCATATGCCGCTTTTCATGGAATGACACGAAAGTGTCACATTAAAGGTTCCATGATGACCGCCATATGAACACATCTGCGGATGTTTCAAAGTTCAAAATTGTACCAGTTCATGTTAAATGTTGAATTCTGCCTAAGCCGGTGCTAGGGGGCGTGGACGGTAGTTTGCGCTTGACAGTACCGTCCATGAACAGGCTCAATCAAACCGAGCCTGCAACATTTTCAATTTTGCCGTGTTGGACTTTCTTTAGGGATTCTTATTTTCTCTATTTTACATTTTCGGCCTGAAAGTTTTTTTAGCTTTGGAAAAACAAAGCGAAGCCACAAGACAAGACAGAGTCAAATGAATACGGAGGATGGGGAAGTACAACGACTTTTTACTGATTCAGAAAGACTTGCACTGTATACGCCTTGTGCAAATACGCGATGTCATGCAGAAATATGAAATTGGCCAAACCTGTTGCGGGTCTTCGTTTTCGGAAGTATTTGTTTAGTTTTCGGAGAACTTTTGTCCACTTAAATTTTGCATAAACATTTTTGCTTTTATGAACCTGAATTGCGGGACTCTGAGGTGTACAAAATGGCATACATTACCTTCTTTATACTTATGATATTTTTATATTGTATGGTGATTTGCCCGACTTTATAGACCAAATCTTGTTTTGATGTCTTCTTTTTGGCTCATAAAAATGGACCCATGTTTCGTCAACAGTGACGACATTTGCAAAAGACCACGCATTGTAATTTGGATACAGTTTAAGCTACGACCCAACTGTCACCATCTGGCAAAGATTTTTCTCATTTCTAAATCTCGTTCGAGAATGGTATGAGCTGCAAAAGAAGAAGAAAACAACAACAACAACAACAACAAGTAAAACACAAATGAAAGAAGAACTACAACATGCTAACTTTTCATATTTATTAAATTTAAATCTCGTTAAAAATGTAGATCAATTTAAAAAGAAATGGCCTCAATTTCACGCAACAAGTATTGACAAAACATACATTTTGGCGGTTCAATATACATACATAATTCCCAGTAAAATTACATACACTAAATTCTAAAACAAATTTTAATTCCTAATTTCATCACAAAGCTTTATTAACAATAACATTACTGTTTTGCGTAAGTGTTCATCAGTTCAAATTTGTGAAATTGGCTGAAATTATTTACATATTTTATATTATTTATTAATACCCTGAAATAAAGGGATAATAATTTAATGACAAGTTGGCGCCGATTTAAAAATTATAAAATGTGCAAAAGAATTTGAAAAATGTAAAGGGAACGATATTATTGGACAAATTATAATTTTCACTAAATTTCAATATTGATATAAATTGTTTTATATTAGCCCATAAGCAAGAATATCAATAAGGTTAACGCTGATAATTTATAAAATCGAGAGTGTTATCAAATGATTTAACCTAAAGGCAGTTGCCCTTCTAGTAAACAGAAGGCCCATTTCTGAAATAACAAGACAATTAGGAAGCAAAACAAAACAAAAACAAACACCTGAATATAGCTAAATACATTGAGGCCTGTACTAAATGATCATGATATATTTCTGTACGTCGAAGAAATATTATAAAATCATCCATGAATGAATTATTGTAAGTGGATAATTGGGTTTTGTGGTATATTGATACCATATTTATTTTTAAATTTGTCAATAATAGGAACAAGTCATGGTATGTTCACGTGATGAAAAAGTTTGGGTTTCCAGATAGGGTTTTTTCCAAAATGATTTGTAAACCAAAATATCTTATTTTGAAATTTAGTGACGAATAAACGAATAAATTCATTTATGCGAGAAACAACTAGTTTACAGGTATGTAATTCTTACACGTTATAATAAGAAAAATATCAAACATATATACTTATTAAGTGTAGAATACAATGGAATGGCTCGAGAATCAATGATCGAATCTGTGAGATACGTTCCAATTAAAGAAAAAGGTATGAAATGTTGTATATTTCTACGTCGGTTAACATTCTGTTTTTTTAAATGTAGTTATAACATTTATAATTTGTGAAATTATGAATACTATTATTGCATTTATAAAATAGATTCATATTTTTTATCATTGTTGATTATGATATAAATTAATGTATTATAAATGAAATTTATAGATCTAATTGTATAATAGTATAACGCGTAAAAGGTTCAGTCATTAAAGTATGGTTTTCCATTCCATTTTAGGGAAACCAACTTCAGTCTGATAGACTAAAAAGTGGTTTTTGTAGATAAGATAGGATATATACGTTATGATGATAGGAAGGTTCTGTGACCGTCTGACAAATGGTGACGTTCGAGATCATCACATGAATCTTGAATGGTTAAGGTTTGCATCCTACAAATCATGTCCAGATAGTTTACCGATATCATCATGCAAGTTGGCGAAAGAAGGGTTTTATTACGTAGGGAACGGACAAAATGACAGCGTAAAATGCTTTTCATGCAATATCATACTAAGTGGATGGGGTGAATTTGACGACCCTGCAGATAGACATCAACAACGTTCGCCTGATTGTGATTTTGTTAGAGGGACCGATGGAAATAACATTCCTATACACAGACAAGCTGTTAGTTCAAACCCTGATTCATCGCTTCAAAATAGTGATGTAGCCGTCGAAGGAACAGTCGGTGCATCGGGAGGTGTTCCACAAGATTTAGGAATGGGACAGTATACACGTGAAAATCCTAAATTTGCTCACTTTAGATGTAGTTCCTACAGATTTAGGTCATATGAGGAAGGCTGGACTAAAGAGGAAGTCGTCCGGCGTGATATACTAGCCGATGCCGGGTTTTTCTATACAGGTAAATGATTATGTTGAAGAAACGTTTGTGTTCGTTTTTATTTGCTTTACATTTTACGCTTTTCCAAACTAGATTAGATTTTTTTTGTGTAAAGCGATAAATGTATTACTGGATGCCCGTAAGAAAATATATTTCAACTTTGATACAGGCGGCTTATGTAATACAAGTAATCAGACCAAAGATAATGCTATATTTTCACAAACTCTTTTGAAATTGAATATGTTTGAATGATTTAAACATTTGCTTATATTTCATTTTTATCAAATCTTGTTTTCATTCAGTACAGTGACTTTGTTGCGTTATTTAGAGAAGTAAGAACCTAATGTAGATCTTACTTTAAACCAAAGGAACAAATAGAGCTTTCCTTTTAAATTTTAAACAAAGTTCCCTACTTAACCATACAATTGCAACTGTTCACCCAATTTGACCTGTTCCGGTTAATTACGATTAGGTGAAAGGCGACAATATCGAGGTGATATTTTTGATTCACATATTAATTTTTCCGTTAAATTGAAAGAGTTAACAAACTTGTTTATTGGATAAAGTTTCTGTATCTCTTTTTCTTTCTTAATGTCACTTTGTGGTTTAATTTTGATTTGGGTTAAACACAATCGCTGTTAAATTACAATGTATCGTTATTTCAGGTGTTGGTGATCTTGTCCGGTGTTTTCAATGTGGAATAGGACTACGAAACTGGTGTTCCGGGGATGACCCGTTTATTGAGCACGCCAAAGTATACAAATGGTGCAAATATTTGGAGGACGAGAAAGGCAAAGATTTTATACAGGAGCATTCAGAACAGGAACTTACTGAGAACCATATTGGTTCCGGCGCGGACAGACAAGGTATTTTTTTATTTACAAATCACAAAGTTTTTAAGATACATGTTAAATTACTGATACCTACTTAAATATATTGTTAGAGAAAGTGTTCTGTCTCTCTTCTTTGTTTTTGTTTTTCTTTTTGTTTATTTTGCGCCAAGAGTCACACAGATGCGCAGGTCTTTGAAGCTACAAAGAAGCAGTCGAATACGTCTATTTATGCATTTAATGACGTTAAACGATTTTAGCAAAAGCTATGTTCTTTCTCTACCCTGTAAATGATTTAAATTGTTTTCTCTTCTTGGTATTACCATAATTTCAAATAATTTGGCATCGTTATAAAACATACATAATTTAAGCCATACAACTTAGTAAATAAGTTATATTCATCTCAATCTATGCAGGCTTAAAAACCAAAGGTAAATTGCTAAAATTAAGAATGTTTTCATCTTTGAATTTAATAGAAGCAGATCAGAATCAAGCTGGCAGCAAGGGCTGTGATGAAAAAAGTGAAGCTGGAGGAAACCAAAAGCCAGAAGAATATTCGGATTTGAAGTCGGAAAATGAGCGACTTAAATCTACGGTGATGTGTAAAATATGTTTAACCGAAGAAGTCAACGTTTTGTTTCTACCTTGCGGACATTTGGTTTCTTGTCAGACATGTGCTCCACATGTTACTCAATGTGCAGTTTGTAGAATGCAAATTGAGAACAGACGGAAAATATTTCTGGCTTGATAAGTTTGTTATCCCATCAGTCAACAAGAGATATTATAGGAGAATAAGTCTACCAATCATTTAAAGTATCTGATAAAATCGTATTAAAGCCATAAAACTTATTTAGAAAATTGTCCAATTGAAGCTATAAAAATGTTATTAAGAAAGCTTTAGAAATTCCTAGGACAACCTTACTTTAAGCTAAAGAAAAATCAAAAGACAAACATTTACCATATATTTCAACATATAATCAACAAAAAAAAGTTTTTAGCTTAATCAAAAGTAACATGGAAATTCTTAAACACGATGTAAGAATGAAAACGATCATATGCATCATTAACATCATAACATGCAATTTTAAAACGCAGGTTAATAAGTACAGAATTAAAAGACAACAAAATAACGCCGTATGTTTAAAAATGCAATTAACAGAGGTGTCTTCTCTTTATTTAATAGAAGGATCTGCTTTAAAACTTAATGATAAGGTATTTCAAACAAAAAACAAGAAAAACATATGGACTGCACCGTGGCTGCAAGGATTTTTTTGTTTGGCCAAAATAAAATTGCTTTCGGTTGTCATAAATGATCAAAACATCACACATGTTGAAACAAAATTCATACTTTATTTAATTTTGAATGTTGTACTGTTACAAAATTTAATTACATTTTATTCTATTTAAGCACCTACTCCTGTTACATTTAGAAATTGAATATTTAAGAAGGATATGTCTTGCACCTACTCCTGTTACATTTAGAAACTGTCGCTATGGTAATATTATCTTTCATGTCGAACTTAAAAGTTTAAGACCTTTTGCGTGCCTTTTAAAGTTTGTAATACGCTTCTCTTGTGTTTTACAACTGAAGTTCAAAAAAAGGAAACAAAACAAGTCCATGTAAAATTCAACAGGTTAAAGTTCTGTTTTGTTTTTCTATGAAATGATCTTTCATAGGCTATGTACTTTATATTTATTGACCTTTTATACATGCATATACTTTAATATCTATTGGACTTTAATATGCAATTACCTCATTTACTTTGTGTTTTATGTCGAAAATAAGTGGTAATCGAGAAAGATTGTTTTGGTGCATATCTAAGATTCATGAACGTCATACCGCTAATCATTGAATGTTTTTTTTTTCTCTCGAAAACAATCATTTTACATAATAAGCAATCAGAATTTCGAAAGATTCATTTATGCAATACGACCCTTATTAATTTGATAGCCTACTCGTAAAAAGATGCTGACAGTGGCAAATAGATATGTACAATAGTTTTAGACATGTGGAAGTCTTTCTTGATTTCAGCACCTTAAATGTGTTACTTCTTTGAAATTACATACAACTAATTATTACTTTTATTAGAAGGGAACCAAAAGTGTCTTTATCTAAAAAAATAGCTTAAAGAAATATTTATTAAATCAACTTTAGTATGATTAATGTTTATTATACATAATACATCTTAAGTTGAATTAGCACATTCTCTTTCTAAATACAAAAAGTTTTCTGGTACTTCTTAGTATGACTGTTGTTAATTGCAAATTGAAGAGGTGCACTGAAGAAAGCCAATTCCAATTAGATTTGATAAAATGAATTGTATGTATACATGTTTTCAATGTTTTAACCATTTAATCATTTCTTTTACATGTTATATGTTATTTGATTTTCATAGGCTGCATTGTAAACAAGATGTCGCAAATATGTTTGTGTATATCGGGGTTACCTTCTGTAGATTGAGTTTTATCATCATCATCATCATCATCATTATTATAATCATCACCATCATTATTTTATTACTATTATTATTATTATTATTATTATTATTATTATATGAACATATAGTTTCCTACACAAAATGATTTGCTGTCTTGGACAGTTTTTAGATGTTTTTGTTTTGGTTGTTGTATAATTGAGATAAATGTTGTTTGTACATCATATTATTATGAATGACAAGTCGACATATAGATCTACGTAAAGGCTAGTATTTCATTTCGCAGTTCATACATATGAAGGTGTACAAAGTTCATATGTCAGAATTATTTACTAAGAGATAAAGCATATTTATCATATAATTTTTGTTTGGTGTTTTTGTAATACTTTTTCTGTTTATCATTCTGCAGAAAATATTCACATGATGGCTATATAGAAATAATTTAAGTTCAATTGTGTAGGAAGCTACACACTTTTGAATCCGTTCCTGGAACCAACCAGTACTGAGCAATGCACTATAAGTTTTTTGCTCAAGGAAACAACGACTTGTCTCTGTCAGGGTTTGAACCCATGCGACTAGCGATCATTAGATTACAAGTCCGAAGCGTTAACAACTCGGCTATATCTTATGAATGGTCACCATCATGTTTGTTTGGGAGCATTATAGTCTATTACTTATTCGATAATATTATGTGTACGTGAAAATAAAAATTCTTTTGTTATATTGTTATTACGTTGATTTAAGGTAGATTTTGACTGTAAAACATATATCTATGTAATAATATCTATTTACGTGAAAATTGTTTAGGTCACTTACGTACATGACATTTGTAAAATGTTTTCATTTTTGTACTGTATTTGAACATATTATCTGCTGTCATTATTTGTAGACTGTTAATTATGTTATTATGTTATATGTGTTATATAGTTACGAAGATTTTTGAATATGTTTCTCCTCGAGAAACGTATCACATATATATGAAGGTATAGTGATATTTAAAGTCAAAGCATTCATGGATATAAAAAGAATGAGCTGTATCATGACAAAACCAACATTATGCGTTTGAGACCAGCATGGATCCTGTGCGGCTGTGCAGGCTGGTCTGGATCCATGCTGGTCGCAAACGCACTATGTTGGTTTTGTTATGGCGCGGCTCAAATGATGATCAGTTGTATGCATATTAAAGATATACTATGCTCATCTTGGGATAAAATACTTCATCTAGTATATTCTTCCTAAATATGCCTAATTTCATTAAGTAAATGTATAAAGTTTGTTTAAGAAGCTACATAACCCTAATTTTTTTCAAATTTAGTAGGTTTAGTCTTATGAAAACTTCCAGTTTTTTTAAATGACACTATGTAATCATACTGTGATTGCGTATAAGTCTATAGAGTTTAAACGCAATATATTTTCTCTGTGAGTATTCGAAAGATATTTATTTTTCATTTCAGAAGAGACTGATTTTTACTCATAAGGGGATTTTGATATCAAATTTAAGCATAATATATCTTAAACGTGGACGCTAGTAAAATAATTTCTGAAGGAAATATACACGTAGCATGAACATCGGTTGATATGCGCTGTCCAAATGCGGTAGGCGTGACTGATGAACTTGTGTTACGTGTATCAATAAAAATTAAATACAAATCATATTTGTTTTCCTTTATCGCTCAATAGCAGACATAGAAGCCTCCATTGTCATGATCCTATATTATTAACTATTATCTTACTAAATGTTTACTTTAAGCTTACACGCTTTAGATTTCTTATGATCGGATAATACGATATAATGTGTGATTTCTGTCATGCCCCAGCAACGATTTCTGTCATGCCCAAATAAGCGTGATTTATGTCATGCACAAACATCGATACAAGTGTGATATTTATCTCCCAAGCATCGGTACAAGTGTGAGTTCTGCAAAGCCCCAAAATCAGTCAAAGTGTGATTTCTTTTATGCCCCAAACATCGAAACAAGTGTAATGTTTTGTTATGCCCAAATTTCCGCAGAAGTGTAATTTCTGTCATGCCAAAACGTTAGTAAAAATATTATTTCTGTAAAGCCCAAACATCAGTAAATGTGTGATTTATGTCATGCCCCGACATCAGTAAAAGTGTGATTTCTGTCATGCCAAAACGTAAGTAAAAGTATTATTTCTGTCATGCCCCAACATCAGTAGAGTTGTGATTTCTGCCATGCTCCAACATCAATAAAAGTGTGATTTCTGCCATGCCCCAACATCAGTAGAGTTGTGATTTTTTCATGCCCCAACATCAATAAAAGTGTGATTTCTGTCATGCCCCAACATCAGTAGAGTTGTGATTTCTGTCATGCCCCAACATCAATAAAAGTGTGATTTCTGTCATGCCCCAACATCAGTAAAAGTGTGATTTCTGTCATGCCCCAACATCAGTAAAAGTGTGATTTCTGTCATGCCCCAACATCAGTAAAAGTGTGATTTCTGTCATGCCCCAACATCAGTAAAATTGTGATTTTTGTCATGCCCCAACATCAGTAAAAGTGTGATTTTTGTTATGCCCCCAAATCAGTAAAATTTGTGATTTCTGTCATGCCCAAACATTAGTAAAATTGAGATTTATGTCATGCCCTAACATTAGTAAAATTGTGATTTATGTCAAGCCCAACATCAGTAGAGTTGTGATTTCTGTCATGCCCCAACATCAATAAAAGTGTGATTTCTGTCATGCCAAAACGTTAGTAAAAGTATTATTTCTGTCATGCCCCAACATCAGTAGAGTTGTGATTTCTGTCATGCCCTAACATCAATAAAAGTGTGATTTCTGCCATGCTCCAACATCAGTAAAAGTGTGATTTCTGCCATGCCCCGACATCATTAAAGTTTGTGATTTGCGCCAACACCTGCACAAGAATCGTACCTGTCATGAGCTAACACAAGAACAAGAATTATGTCTTTCTTGCAACAACAGCAGTACGAGCAAGATTTTTATTATACTCAAACATCATTTCAAGTATTATTTCTGCCATGTATGACACTAAGAAAGTTGAAATCATTAAAATTATGGGCTCATAAAATAAGGTATCCGCGACGAAAATTTTTCAAATTTTTCTTCTATGGTATTTTCCAACAACCAATGAAAATGAAGTATTCTCTAAATAACAGAAGTACGACAATATGATTGGTTACAATTATCGTGTACAGTAAAAGGTTTATTCTCTTCTATTTTCGTAAATTTAAAATACCTTTCGTCTCGTTTAACATCATTATATGTGGTGGTTGGTCCATCTATCCGATTCTGATAAAGGTTTGAGTGATTTATCAGTGCGTGGTCCGCGAGCTCACATTTTCTCCAGCAAAAAGGTGAATATATTAAAACATAATCAATGCCGTAAAATGAAACTTTATAAGATAAATACAAGGTAGTCTAACTAGACAAAACTTTTTGATGTATTAGGTTAAGACGCGAACATATAAACAATACGCGAGGGGTAGTTGCCTAAGCTATATACTACAGTATAGAATACTGTATGTTAGTTTTGACAAATATTTTTATGTTTTAAATTTTTGAGTCAGTGCACAGCCATTGTTATAAAGTGTACAAAACCTATTTTAAGTGTTTATTTTTAAAGTGGCCCTAATAAGTGGCCGTGAAACGGTGCTATTGAGAAGTTTATTTATTTATTTATTTTGTAATTTTATTGCTATGTAATTTTAATTGAATAATTTCTTAAATAGGCTGTGCACTAGACTATTTTTACCATACAATCTCATGGTTATTATCAAAATTGGGAGGTGCTGGCTACAGATTACCCATAATGTCAAAAAAGACTCCATATTGTATATATCCCTTTGCCCCCCGCCCCGTGTTATTTATTATCTATCTTTTTTATTCCTGTATATATAACTAGTATCCTTAATACTAGTAAACGTGAACCCGTGCCCCCATATGGAGCAATACGTTTATCACGGGTTCACTCAAGCATGAGATTTTCTTAAATATGTTACACAAAGACTATCTCATCACATTATGGGTAACCAAGTTATTATTATTAGCCATATTTGGGACTTAGATTTTTTCTTATTCTTCTATGAATTGTTTAAGTAATAGAAGATCAATTATTATGTGTGATATCTAGATGCATAATAATTTATAGACCATGAGACAGTGATAAATAGATAAGGCCGTTTCCACCACATTTTAATTATTATATTTGTTTTAATTTTGAAATAAAGTTGGTAAAAACACGTATACATTGGATGCAACGGGCACCCGCAAAAATTTCTATCCAGTCCGCGCGACAAACTTGTCGAAATAGGTCAATACAAAACTTGCAGAATTTTCAAGAAAATCGGATTGACCTCCTTATTCAGATAGAAGAAATTTTTTAGACCAATGAGAACAAAGGAGGCAATCCTCTCTAAACCAATCAAAATTAACTTTATAAAGCGGGTGTTCGTAGAAACTTACAAAATTTACAAAATTTAAAAAACAAACTCTGCTAATTACAAACATGTAATTAATAATATGCATCCCAATGTATACGGTTTGTAACATGTAAATAGAAACCAACATAAACAACAGTCAGCCCACAATGAATTGGTCAGAAAACGTTCCTGACATGCCCTTTCGCACACAAGTATGCGAACTCTACAATTATAGGTAAATTTCTAAAAACTTTTTAGTTATATTAAATAAATATTAGTCCTGTTATAAAAGACGGTACTCTATATAAACGTCTTGGCCGATTTTAAATTAAGTGATTTTAATTAATAAATTTTAGATTTCTCAAACTTAGTATGGGATTGCCCCATCTTCCTCCCATGGCAAAGGTTGTACGTAGAGACAACCCTGTCATGGGGGATATGGTATGCACATAAACACATGTACGGATATAATAACAAGTATAATAAACATCAGATCCCCATTTTTTTTAATGATTATAAATGAAGTATATGCTCGCCCATATGGTCTCTTTCCGGTGGCGAGGGTAAACAAACACAAACACACACACAAAAGAAAGTTGATTAGGATTTTATTTTTTCGAAATCGTTGATGCGCAAGCACACGCCGTATTATTGATTGGATTTTAGCTCAGTTGTGAAATTTATGGGGTTTTGTTCGTTTCTTTCTCTTTTTGCCATTTGTATATAACAATTTTCCACTCTGTCTTAGGAATACCACGGATTTATATTGTAATATAAATCCGTGGGAATACCTTGTATTTGTTTGTAATCATTCGACCCTTCCGTCGCATTGGCTATTTGTATGTCATTATTCTCCGCGTCTAAATTACTTAGTATGTTGGACCCCCTTACCTTATTGCTATTTGTATGCTATTATTTGCCTCTCTGTTGTTTTGACTATTGGATGTTATAATTTCTACCGTTTTGGCTATTGGAATATCATTACATGTATTTACTTCTCTGCAATATTGGCTACTTGTGTTTTATAAATCGCCCTTTTGTCGTATCTGTTGTAATTTGCTGTAATCTGCTGCCCACTTTCGTATTGGCTACTTGTATGGCTGGGTATGTGGGGGGTGGGGGGCAAACCATGATGAACCTAAGAGCTTACTCAGCTCTGGAATGAAGTAAGCATCACAGAAAAATGTTGAAATGTAAAACGATTCGAAAACGGGATCTTTAAGAGGTACTTTTGCGAAATGGAAAATATTTTGATCGTTATTTTCAGCGCAGGTAGCGTGATTATTCTAGAAGTATACAAGATGACATAGAAAGGTTAGCAGGTACAATGTAATGATTGCTTGTACAATATTTGTTACATTGGTTTAGTTAATGAACGACGTAAACATATTCCCTGTGTGTTTTTTTAGAAAAGGGAGGTCTGATCTTTGTATCCTATTAGTGAATGATGATAATTATATAATCAATAATCAAGTAGGTCAGATTTTACACGTCGGGAGTCGGGTGAAACTTCTGAGGAAGCTTTTGACAGTATGGTTACTCACGTGTAACGAAGACATGTTGCATGTCCTGATCGAGAAACGCAAAATGTGGTAAAGCATCTGGGCTTGATATTGTGTTGGCTATTTTTGTATTGTTCTTTGGCACTTATCCGTTTTGTCTTTTAAGTGCAATGATTTGCCCCTATGTTGTATTGACTATTTGTAGACAGTTATTTGGCCCTTTGTCCAATTAGCTATTTGTAGACCTATTTGGCCTTTCCTCTTATTGGCTATTTGTAGAAATTTATATACCCCTATGACTAATTGGTTTTTGAAGGCAATTATTTACCCTTTCGTCTTACCGGCTATTTCAGCCTACTTGTAGGCACTAATTTGCAGCTCTGCGTCGACAATAACTTATATCTCTGTCTAAATGGCTATTTGTAGGTTTTTATTTGCCCCTCTATCGTATTGGTAATATGTTGGCAGTTATTTACTCTTCTTCCTTATTGGAAAGCTGTTGTATAGTTGACCTTTAATAAATTTTGTTTAATTGTTTATTGTTTATGTGATAGAGTTGTCGATAAAGCAACGAACAAAATTGATATCTGTCATTATTATGAATTCACCGATATTTTGACAGAGCATGCTACTGAAAAATCGGCAACATTTTCGATAACATATGTTTGCTCGTTACTTTAGTATGATTACTTCTATCAATATACGTTAACATACCAGCTAACATATGACAGTACA